TTTTGTCTTGGGAATTGAACCCAGGGCCTTTTCACTGAATTACATCCCCAACTCTTTATTTTGAGGTAGGGTCTTGCTCAGTTGTTTGAACCTGTGTTCCTCCTTCCTTAGCCTCCCAGAGTGCTAGGCTTACAGGTTTGCACCACTGCACCTGGCTGGAGGGTGGGGTGGGGGTACCAGGATCAAACCCAAAGCCCAGGCCCTGTGCATCCTAGGCAAGCTCTCTCCTCCCTGAGCCACATCCCCAGCCTAGTATCACTTTTTTGAAACCCTTGTTAAATGAAGTAATGAATCTGGGCCTCAAACAACAGCTGCCTGACACACTGTGCTGCCTGATCAAAGTAGACACCATCACCCATGTCATATTGCCAAAGGAACAGCCCAAATCTCATCGAGCTCTCTAGAGGAATGGAAGACAATGTTAGATGCCACCGGTGTCTGCATGGGGCATATGGCCCGAGTTCTTCCACAATGCAGAGGCAAACAGAGGTGGTACACAGGGTGCAGCTTGGTGCTGGGTTGCAGGTAGCGTGTGCAGGGCCTGGGCTAGATCCCTAGCTCCACACACACCGTCATCAACCAGCTGCAGAGTATAGACCTTCAGTCTGGACACAAACGAATAAATGCAAAATCATTAAAGAGGTAGTCAGGGCAAACTGAACCCAGATTGGATGTCTGATATCTGATACTAAGAAATGGTAGCCAGGCGGGATGGTGCAGGGCTGTCGTCCCAGCACTTGGGAGGCTGAGGCAGGTTGATCAGAAATTTGAGCCCAGCCTGGGCAACCTAGGATTGAACCTAGGACCCTTGCACTGAGCTGCTGGTTTCCCACCATGTGCTGCCGCCGCCACCACCACCCCCACCCCCACCCCCACCCCCGCACCCCCGAACAAGAAAAACTGATTTGCCAGACAGGAGCATTTGCATTCCAGTCTCCTCTGTCTGGCATTTCCTGCGAGTGTTTTCAGAAGTTCTGCTTGGAACGCCAGCCTCATTGTCTACCTTTGATTTATTACAGATTCTGCACCATTCCTTATCCCTGGTACCTTCCCCAAAAGGGACCATCGAGAACATCTTGGACAGTGACCCCCGGGACCTCATAGGAGATTTCTCCAAGGTAACTGCACGATGGCTGCTTGCTCTGGCTGAGTGACACGCGCTGGTTCTCACACTCAGGTGCCTGTGACATGACACTGGTGAGCTGAGCTCCCTGTGCCGATTAGGGGCTTCGGAGCGGAGCTGTCCACACCATCTGGCTCCAGCCAAAGTCCAGGCTCTCTGGGGGCTGGATTCTGGGTCACTAAGGAGTAGAGGCGAGAGAGAGTGTGCTGGCCACACATGCCTGCTGGAAGGTGTTTCTGGAGGCCTGAGTCAGGCCTGGCTTGTTCTGCTGCTGTTCAGGGAAGCCCGATGGCCCGCTGTGCTCAGTTTCATTTTGTTTTTTTAGGGTTATCTCTTTCACACAGTGGCTGGGAAGCATCAGGATTTAAAGTACATTTCTCCAGAAATTGTAAGTGACTCTTCGGAAACCCATCACACACGGGTGTCCAGGTATAGCTATGCTCAGCAACCAAAGCTGGCTTCCTGGTCTCCCCCGACAGATGGCATCCGTTTTGAACGGCAAGTTCGCCAACCTCATTAAGGAGTTTGTCATCATCGACTGCCGGTACCCATACGAGTACGAGGGAGGCCACATCAAGGTAAGGCTTCCAGCCTTGGGATGGGGGAGCCAGGTGTGAGCTGTGGTTCAGGGGAGCACGCGCAGCCCTGGCTGCTCAGCTTGCTCGCTGCTGGTGCGGATGGAGGGTGGGCTCCTGGGCATGGGAAGGCTGAGTGCCCCTGGTCAGCTCAGCTCAGGCTGGAGGAGCCCCCGAGTCTGCCCGGTCTCATGGGTGGGGGGAGCTGAGACACGTGTTCCTGGGAAGACGAAGCGGTTGTGCCATCTGGAGTGTTTGTCGCTTGTGAGAGCCCCGAGATTTACAGGCAGTACTGGAGAGGGGAGATAATGGAATCGAAGGTGCAGGTTCCCCATCCTGGTATGTGTCAGTCACTGCACGCTCTGCACTGGCTGTGGCACTACGCTGAGACAGGGCCAGGCTCCTGGGCTGTCATGTGTGGGGCCCCGAAGTCACGAGTGCTTTGTGCACTGACAGGTGGGCCAGGCTCGGGCGCTGAGGGGCTCTGCTTCCTTCCAGGGTGCGGTGAACCTGCACATGGAGGAGGAGGTGGAAGACTTCCTGCTCAAGAAGCCCATCGTGCCCACTGATGGCAGGCGCGTCATTGTCGTGTTCCATTGCGAGTTTTCTTCTGAGAGGGGGCCTCGCATGTGAGTGCTGTGCCATGCAGGTCCCAAGGCATTTGGGTGGCTGCCACTTGGGGTGGGTTTTAGCATATCAAGCATCCTCCTGCCAGCTGGGTGTGGGGGTATGCACCTGTCACCCCAGCACTCTGGGAGGCTGAGGCAGGAGGATCACAAGTTCCACCCTGGCCTGGGCAGCTTAGCAACTTTGTGAGACCTTGCCTTAAATAAAAACAAGGCTGAGGAACAGGTGTATTCCCTGAATCCTTAGCCACTTAACAGGTGGCTCACTTGAGTGTAGTCCATGGACTTGACCCAGCTGTCTCTGGCTCCCCCAGTCTGCCCGTGGATGTGATGCTAGTGTACCCTTCGGGCCGCCTGTGCTCCCGGGCGGCTACCTCTTGGTACTGTGCATTGAACTTTGGCCCTTCCAGTTTGCCACAGGGCGACTGATCTCATGTGACATCCTTCAAGGCCCACGTGGCGTTCTCTCCAAATGCCAGGAAGTGAGAAAGTTGTTTTCCTGTGTCTGTTTAACGTGGTGCACATCCTCGGCCAGCACTCTGCCACTGAGCTGCGTCCCCAGCCCTTGGCCCTGCTCTGGTGCAGACCCTAGTATCACCACGTGAGCAGGCGGTGTTGGTAAGGGGTGGAAGGAAGTGCGCAAAGCCCCACCGTGCTGGAACCCACACTGCAGAGCAGACCAGAGGCAGGCGCACAGGACAGATAGCAGCTGTGCAGTATGTGAGAAGGGGCTCACAGCAGAGGGGCTGCAGAGGGGACAGTGGGTGACAAGTTGGAGGGCCTGGAGTTACACCAAGGCCGGGCAGCAAGGAGCTGCAGCCCACGAGGGTGACAGGAGGAGCCTTTGGTGTGCTCCCCACCACTGCCAGGGAGGACAGTGAGGACTGGCAGCCTCAGGAGCTCCGGCCACCGCTAGTGTCCAGGACATGCCGGGCAGGGGGCAGGCGCTGGGCCTGGCTTGCTTGGAGAAGGGGGTGCGACACGGAGCCCATGGCCTGGTGCTGACTGTGTCCACGATAGGGGTGACAAGGCTGGGCAGGGAGCACTCGGCCCATCTGTCTGCACAGACAATTGTCCGGCCTGCTTCCCCCGCCAGGTGCCGCTATGTGAGGGAGAAAGATCGCCTTGGCAACGAGTACCCCAAACTCCACTACCCCGAGCTATATGTCCTGAAGGGCGGGTACAAGGAGTTCTTCCTCAAGTGCCAGGTGAGCGCGTGCCCCGCACAAAGCGGGGCTGGGCTGGGAGTGTGCGACGCGAGAGAGACCCTGACCCCTAGTCTCCTCCCAGGCTCTCTGCGAGCCCCCCAGCTACCGGCCCATGCACCATGAGGACTTCAAGGAGGACCTGAAGAAGTTCCGCAGCAGGAGCCGGACCTGGGCGGGGGAGAGGAGCAAGCGGGAGATGTACAGTCGCCTGAAGAAGCTCTGAGGGCCACGGCAGCAGCCCGGGCATCCCTGGCCTCAGCCCTCATCACGGCAGGGACACTGGAGTAGGGGCCAGTGTTGTGACACTGGAGAGATGGCCTGGGCTTCCTGCTCATTTCTGCTCCCACACTCCAGGCCAGGGCCCATCAAAGGGACATCTGCCAGGGCCACCATGCAGCCCCCAGCGCCCAGCGATGGACAGAGTGGCGGGGCCTCCCAGGCTCTGCCTGCTTTCCAGGGGCGGGAGACACGGCCACCGGCCGATACCAAAGACACCTGAGAAGCATGAGGCTTCGGGGGTAACCCATGGGTTTAATTTATTCAACTTCACCCATTATTTTATTTTTTTTAAACTCCTGGGGACTTTTACTTTACTGCTTCCATAAGTCACTACTGCCATTCCAGGGAGGGGTTCACTACCCAGGGGGTGCCTCTGCTTGTCATTAAAGAAGGGTAAGAAAGGCAGGCCTCTTGTAAGTCGGAGGGACCACGCCCCGGCTGCTGCTGTTTCAAGCCAAGGACTGAGCTGCTGGCGGGAGCAGGCCTGCCATCCCCGGGGAGCACCCCCTTCCTTGATGACGGCTGCCATCCGAGGAAGCTGGCACCAGCCACTTCCATGGCCCAAGGCGGGGAGGGGCCGTGGCCCTGAGTGTCCCTCTGCTGTTCCGATGCTCACCTGGCTTTTGATTCTTAAAAAATAGTTTCTGAGGGGAGGAGTGTCAATCAGTGTTGGGTGGGCCACTCTCCTCGAGGAAGGAGGGTTGTCCAGGGCCTTGGGTCTCCAGGGTGACACTGGGTTTATCATGTTTTAATTGGAGGGGCGGAGCGATGTCACCAGTTCCCCCCTTTTCTAGCCCCACAGAAGCGAGGTGTCAAGGGGCCACCTGGATGGGTTCTCCATAGCATCCCACATTGCGCCCAGCCTTTCCCGTCGCTGTTCCCGGGGGCGGGGGGGAAGCGGGCTTTTCCTCAGGAAAAGCGACTCCTCTCTTCTGGGAGCAGGGAGGGAAGGGAATTGGCATCAGCAGTGCCAGAGACGGCTGGTGGCTGGGTTACGGGTGGGTTTCAGTTGCCTGTGGCTGTAAAAGAATCTTGTTGGGAAATATGTGGGGAGCAGGAGGGAGAAGGCCTGGCCCTGGCGGTCTCTTATCTCATTGGCAGGGAATCTGTTGGTTGAGCGCCCAACAAGGGGTGGATTTCAGAGTCTGCCCTCTTAGCTGGCAGGATGACCAACTGCTGCAGACTCTGAAAATAAACGTGACCTTGAACCCATCCTGTCTGCTTGGTTCTTGGTGGGCTGACAGGAACTGTGCTTCCCTTAGGGTTCTGGGGTCGCACCAATGTCCCGTGTGTGCTGAGGATAAGACCGAGTCTCCACACTGTGCTACAGTCCCAGCCCCCCTTTATTTACTACTGAGTTCCTCGGGCTGGGATTGCAGGTGTGCACCCCCACGCCTGGCACCAGGGATTCGTTCTTATATCAGGTTTTTTTCATTTGTCGTTAAGTCTATATGAGTTCTATAAAATGTCTTTTTAATTATAACAAAATGCTTAGCAAGACCCTGGGGTTTTTTTTATTTTTTATTTTATATATTTATTTTTTGGTGCTGAGGATCGAACTCGAGTCCTTGCCCTTTGGAGGCAGTCAGCGGAATCGCTGAGCTAAGTCCCCGGCCCTTTTTTATTTATTTTATTTTTGTGTGTGTGTGGTACCAGGGATTGAACTCGGGACCTTGCGCTTGGGAGGCAGGCGGCAGCACCACTGAGCTAAACCCCCAGCCCCTGTTTGTTTGTTTGTTTGTTTTTTGATACCGGGGATCAAACTCGGGTCCTTGTGCTTATGCAGCAGGTGGCAAAACCACTGAGCTAAATTCCCAGCCCTCTGTTTGTTTGTTTTAAAGGTAAAATATGGGGCCAGGGATTTAGCTCAGCTCAGTGGTTCCATTGCCTGTCTCACAAGTGCAAAGTCCCAAGTTCGATCCCTGGTTCCAAAAAAAGGTAAAATAACAGTGGGGTATAGTGGTACTCACCTGTTATCCCAGCACTTGGGAGGCTGAGGCAGGATTGTGAGTTCAAGACCAGCCTGAGCTACATTAGTGAGACCTTATCTAAGTGAAATAACCCCTTTCTTGCCTGTTATACAACTTCAGTGAGATTCCTGGCCAGCCTAGTTGACTTCCCCACCTCAGTGACTGACTGCTGTTAATTGACTTCTGGCAGGTCTGCTTTTGTGTGCGGCTCCTGCACAGTCACCTTGCTGAAACAGCTGCTTAGCTCAACTTGGGAGCGGTTCCTTGTGTGCAGAATGGAACCTGAACTCTAGCCGGAGTGCTGATATCCTTTGTTCACTTTGTGCCTCTCCCACAGGGCAGCTTCCTGTTTCTAAAATATTCATTGCCCTCTGAGCCTGCCTTGTCACAGCTGGAGGCCTTTGAGGCGAAATCTTTCCGGTGAAAAACATGTACAGACACCCCTGGAGCCAGCTATCATGTTTACTATTCTCACACAAAGTGGGATCCCCAGGTTCAGGAAAAAAAAAAATTAGAAGCATGTGAAGATGTATAGAAACTTATCTCCATTTCCATACCAGCTTGAGAACTGAGGCCAAGACCCTACTCTGACCCAATCATAAACTCCAGCCTTGCCCTCCTCCCATCAAGTAACCAGTATCATTCCTGGGCCTGAGGATTGTTTCTAGGCGAGAATAAGGTTTTTCTTGTTTTCAGACTACGTAAATATCCTTGGTTTGTCACTCAGACGTGCCAAACCCCTGTAGTTCCAGTAGGGGGCGCTGAGGAGGAGGAATGTGAATTCCTGGCCAGCCTGGGCTCCACAGTGATTCCCTGTCCCCATTTTGTGTACATGTACCCGAGACTCAGATTTTTCACTCGCACTCCCGGGAAAGGCAAAGGCTGTGTGGACAGTGAGTGTCCAGCAAAGGAGCCTGGGTAGCAAGGGCTCGCTCGTCTTCGGAGAGGGATGAAGGAGAGCTGCAAGAGGCTTGCACTCGGGCTGTCATCACCGATGGAAAGCCCAGATACATTTTTTTTTTTAATTTCCTATTTTGAAGGACCAGGGATTTAGCTCAGTGGTTCCACTGCCCGCTTTTTAAGCGCAGGGTCCCGAATTTGACCCCTGGTACCAAAAAAATAAAGACAATTTCCTATTTTGAGACAGGGTCTCACTAAGTGGCCCAGGCTGGGCTCAAACTTGATCCTCCTGCCTCAGCCTCCCAAAGGCTGGGATGACAGGCCACCATGCCCTGCTTCTGTCCCAGCATCTTGTGCCCCTGGTATTTGGAACTTTTTTTTTTTTTGGTACCGGGGCTCAAACCTCGGGTCCTTGCGCTTGCACAGCAGGTAGCGAAACCACTGAGCTAAATCCCTGCCCCTGGCCCTGGTATTTGGATGACCCTTCGCACGCCCAAATCCCCAGTTCATGGAAGAAAGGTCGCTGTGTGGGAAGCTGTTTCACTCAAATTGTGCTGAGCATTGAGAAGGAGGCTGAGAAGACACAGGCTTCCCCTCGAGGAATTTACCGAATAGTGAGAGAAGCTCAGAGATTAGGAATCCTTAGTTTAGGAATAGAAAGTGCTGGAAAGGACATTTTGGGGACAATTCACAAACTTGAACTATGAAGTCAGGTGTGGTGGCACATGTGTAATCACAGTACTCGGGAGGCTGAGGCAGGAGGATCACAAGTTCCAGGCCAGCCTGGACAACTTTAGCCAGACCCTGTCTCAAAAGAGTTGGTGTAGCTGAGTGTGAAAGCCCTGGCTTCAATCCCCAGGACTACCAAAAATAAGATCTTACTCATTCCAGTTTCCATGACCCCTGACTGCATGAGGACAACAGGTGCAGCTGTGCTTGGAGCCAAGGCCGCCTAACCACTGGGCGCCCCGCAGGCCTCCTCCGGTCTCCTTTCCCTTAGGGGAGCCTGCTGCAGGGCTGTGGCCCGCCACCAGATGGCAGTAGTACCCAGGGTGTCCCCATGGCATCCTGTGTTGGATTTGGGTGCTGGGGATGGAACCCCGGGGCCCACGCATGCACAGGCGCAGGCAGGCACCCTGTCCCTGAGCTACACCTCAGCCCCTCAGGGTTTATCCGGAGCAACACAGGCTGGGGCTTTGAAGCACAGGCATTCCCCACCAGAATGGTGCTGACCACCTGGTGGGCCCCAGTCAAAAAGTCAGAAGGCAGCCGGGTGTGGTGGTGCATTCCTGTAATTCCAGCATGGGAGGCTGAGGCAGGAGGATTGTTGCAAGTTCAAGCCCAACCTGGGCTACATACATAGCATGATGCTGTCTCAAAAAAAAAAAGGGAGATTCTAGGAAACCCTGAGTTAAACAGTTCTCATCGGCTATTCAGTTTGGTTTTGTCTTGGTGTTCTTGGCTCACAGCGCTGGGTCTTCAGTGTGACCCCTGTCCTTTGATTCTCACTGGATGAAGTTTACCCCATCTTAGGGTTAGGACACTCACGCTCGGGCCTGGCTGGTGCTAAGTGCACTATTGAGGTCCTAGCTGACTAGTGCAGCGTCAGAAGAGGACCTTTTACTGTCTGTTTTGCTTTGATTTTTCAGACAGGATCTTGCTGTGTACTTCAGGCTGGCCTAGAAGTCTGAGGTGATCCTCCTGCCTCAGCCTCCCAATTGCTGGGAATACAAGTGTACACCACCACACCCACCTCCAAGGTAGTTCTGAATGAAGAAGTTTCGGGCCACTTGATCTAAGCTTGAGGGAGAGAGATTGCCCCTGCACCTGGGCGGAGGCCACCTGCTGGTTCCTCATGCTCCCTGGCTGTCGTGTCCACCCTTCATCAGCGCAGGCGCAGCATTTTGGTCTGGAGCCCCAGTTCTAGATGGGTTAATGCCCTGACTCAGCTGCAGGGCCTGGGAGACACTGCCCCTGCCCCACGCCTGCCCTGCACCTGGAGAGCAAGAGGAGCAGGGTAAACAGAAACCAGGGTGCCTCACTGGCCTGGCATTCGGCTGGGTGTGCGGGGAAGGAAGACACCAAGCCTGGCCAGACAGGGCTGCAACGGGGTGTGGCCCAGGGCTGCTCTCAAAGCTCAGCACAGCCAGATGTGCTTACAGATGTGGAATGAGGCAAAGTATGGGCTGCTGAGCCTCTCAGGCCCAGAGGATTTGGGGAGCAATGGAGCAAATGAGAGTGAGTAGATGGAAACTTCAGATTTGTTATTCCTAAAATGCAGCTAAAACGCAAGGCGGTCAGAGAATTACAACCTGTGATCAAAAATTACAGTGAATGGGCCGGGGATTTAGCTCAGTGGTGCCTCACCTGCCTCAAAAGCACAAGGTCCTGCGTTCCATCCCTGGTACCTCAGAAACAATAAAAAATTACCATGAGAGCTGGGGATTTAGCTCAGTGGTTCCGCCGCCTGCCTTGAAAGCGCAAGGTCCCGAGTTCGATCCCCGGCAAGGAAAAACAAAAACCAAAGTTTTTTTAATAGAAATAGTCGCCATATATTTAATCATCCCTTGTGAGTGACCTGATGCATATAAGGTACTTGACTCAATTCCAGTAAGTACTTAACAAAGCCAAGGATGATTATTAGGAGTCTAGGCCTGGAGCAGGGCGGGCTCAGCGTCTGATTCATCTGTTACCCCATTCCTGAGCCCATTTTGAGGGGCTGGCATTTACCACACGTGACCAGCTGAGGGTGAGTCAGCAGAGCCTGCCTAGCGGGGCCTGGTCCTCACTCCACAGCAGCTCCCTCAGCCAGGAGCTGACGTTTGTCCCTCCACGTGGCCTCTCTGCTGGCCTCCCCCAGACCCTGTCCTTGTCCCACAGCCAGCTGCCCCTCCACATCTCGTCCCGCCCCAGTTCAGGCACCCAGGCCTCCATCCCCTCAGGTAATGTCCCCAAACACTCACTGATCTGGGGAGGGGGCAGCGCCATGGAAGGGGATGGGGATTTTCACCAAAGACACCACTGGCTAAAGCAAAAGACAGCCTGAAGTACCTGATGGAAAACTGCATCCTCCAGCTGCTTACCAGTCATTTCCTGGGCCCCAGGCACCTGGCCACTGCCAGTGAGCAGGGGCTGGGAAGAGGCAGCCTCCTTTGTAGGGATTTATGCAAGGCCTTGGGTGTTCTGACCTCGAGGGGTACCCTAGTGGCCAGAGAGCAGATCTAGGTGTTGGGTGAAGATCGGAAGAGAGGCTGGAAATGGTGGCACATGCCTATAAACCCAGCACTCTGGAGGCTGAGGCAGGAGGATCACCACTAGTTCAGGGCCAGCCTGGGCTACATA